AACAAAGTTTCAAAATGAATCCATAGGAGGCTCATTTCACCAAAGAAGAAGGTTTGCCCGGAAACAACCATGCACGCAAACGTAACTTACCTATTAGGATATGCAACAATGGTACATGGCTTAAAAATACCACCGATGCAAAATCCGACCCCCCAACGGGCAAAAAGGCAAAAATGAACAAGAAAAGGGAAATTTGAAAAACAAAATTAACAAATGATTTCAAATTACCGTTTGGCCCTTGGCCACACTTCAAACATGATTTATAAGACCCTATGAAAGAATAAAAATGGAATTCCCACACCCGATGCAACCATGGTAAGACAATAACTTTGCATTTTTCAATGTTTTCATAATATTTCATGAAGTTAAAACATACATAGAATTCAATATACATGTCAATGGCCTCCGGCCTCATCTCATACATATCAAATACATTGTAAAGAGTGTACTTAGGTACACATTACATACAAGGAATCGAAAGATACAAGCTTTGTCAAAATAAACAAAAGCAAACATAATATGGTAACATGTGCATATTCAATGTCATCAAAAATACTTCAAGACTTCTAGCATGTCTAAAAGTGTTGTGTATCCCACAACAAAACTTCTTTACCTGCAAAACACCCAGCAACTTTGGGGTGAATAAACAAGACTAACAAGTTTATTCGTAAGGGATGAGCATACATCAACTCGATTTCTTTAGAGATTTTTAGGACTAACATGATATAGTTCAAAAGGGATCATGCCACCTAACGTCTATGTCAAAGATTAGACTCAGGGATTATCCTAAGCTACCATGGAGTATAAGCAACAAGAATCAAGATATATATACATATATAAAACAAGTCAAAGTTGGGATAATCCAAGAACATGACAAGAATGTTACTTGAACATAGATTAACATGAATTGCATTATCAATACAATTAAGCAAGACTTGGAATAATTCCATACAACACGACAAAAGGATACTAGAACATAGATTAACATGAATTGCATTATCAATACAATTAACATGATTGGAGCATTCCAATTAACACGAAAGGGTTAATACACGAAATAAAGAACATGACATAATATCTATGCTTTTAGACAAAGTTGGAACCATTCACATAACACGAAAAGAGTTACACATGACATCAAGGATAATGCATAATATTTACGCAATTAAACAAAGATGGGATATTCCATAAAACACGAAAAGGAAGATACATGGAGTCAGGAGCAAAGCATAATATCTATGCATTTAAACATGGGTAGAATCTACCACATAACACAAAAAGAGTTTTAAATCTTCAAGGAATACAACACTTAAAATTTAAGGAGTTAAATCACGAATGAAGCGTAAAATCTATGCAATGAGACAAGATTGGTGCATTTCACATACACGACAAGTTTAAATCTTCAAGGAATAGCAACTTGAAATTTAAAGAGTGAAATCAACCAATGTGGAAACTTGGATATCGCCCGAATTAAAACTGTACTCTTGAGATCACTTTAGGGCTACTAACCCACGGGTACCTTTCCCCTAGTGCGCACTATAATGTAGAGGGATATTCCCCCGTACTAAAACCGAGTCCTAACCATGTCAATTCTTGATTGATATCACAAGTCCCAAAATCAACAAGTTGTGCAAGTCAAGATTGTATCAAAATACAAGAAATACATTAACCACATATCATGCACAACCAAGATTTTGGAACACACAAGTCATGCCCTAAGTTCTCAACTATGATGGCATGTGAAATGTCAAGAAATCAATGTTTGCATTTATATAGACCATAACCAAGATAAATAACACATGGAATCCATCGAAGCAAATATACCATAAGTATAAGATACATAATTCAATTGTATACTAAATAACACATGCGTGAATAAACCATTCCGAAACAAATGAGCATGTTCATTAAGCACATTAATGAAACCAAGATACTAGAAGTCTAGATACATGATATCAAGATATGATTAACTCGAGGGAGACATAAAAGGAAATTTAATCTACTTAAGGGATTAAATTATCAAGGTTACATGGCAAGTCCAAATGTTCTACGAATAAGTTATGTCAAGGATGATGTCAAGGCCAAGTTCAATGTCAAGTTTCAAGTTCATTTTATACACGATTAAGTTCCATACAAAGGAAATGAATAAATATAAGTTTCAAAACTTATCCGATTATGCTCAATGTAATACACGTGAATGAACTTATCAAGGAAATCACGAATACAAGGTTAGAAACTTAATCAAGTGCATAGAACCATTAAATGGATTTTAATTATTTCATTTAATTAAAATCTCTAGATTTTGAAAGTCTTCTAAATGACCTCAATTTAACATATGTTATACAACATGTCATAACTTGATTTAAGAACACAATACAAGTACATTTCATGCAAGTTACGGCCTTGAGTGTTATACTTTAATACAAGAAAAATAATAAATGAAGGGTTTCAAAACTTAATCAAATATTCTAAATTTAATATATGTGAAACTATATGTCATGCACATCAAGAATTTCAAGTCGGAATTCCAATGGAGTGAATAGTACACTCGGAGCAATTTAATTAATCTAATTAATTAAATATTATTAGATTTCAAAACTTCTCTGATTACTCTCAAATTAATCTATGTTGAAGAACATGCTAAAGCCTAATATAATGTGTTATCACATGTTAATTTAAAGCTAGATAAGGTCACATGATTTAATATTTTATTTAAGATAAATATTAAATAAAATATTCATTACTTGACCAAATAATCTAGATTTAATATATGTCAATCTACATATCAAGGGGTAATATTCTATCATGTCACATGATTAAACAAAGTTATGGACAACCGGAAAAATTAAATCCTTCACAAGAAAAATAAATAATAAAATTTCTAGATTTTACATCCAAGTATGTAATCAAGTTGTATAAGCATCACAAGCATGTAATATAGCAATAATTTAAATTATAACACCCCCTACCTCAATTTGAGATGAAAACCTCAAATCCCCACTGAAAAAAAAGTGTCCTGAATTCGTCGAAACCGAAGGGTTTTGTCAGGGACAACACGATCTACATGAATCCGAAGGAAGCCCCATGAAAATCACAACTTGGCTTCAAACCCAAACTCAAGAAATGGTCAGAAATGAATTCTAATAAGGGGAGGATGATAGAACACGTCAAGGGGAACAATAAATGTAAAGGCTGAAGGATTTCTACCAAGGAAATCAAGTGGAGAAGAAGGAGAAAAGGTGGCAGCCAAGGAGCTCCCATGGCTGCCGGCCAAGAGAGTGGAGAAGATGAGTGAAAATATGATTTTTCACTTTAGGGCATCCTATTTATAGTAAGTCTCAAAAACTGTCCCGAAAGGGCCCCGCCGGGTCTGGAAAAGTAGATTTTGAGCAAACGCGCTCAAACAGAAAAATTCCATGAACAAAAAAGATTCAAAACGAGAAAATATGAACAACAGAAGAAACGGCGTCGAAAATCGAGTCCCGAGCAGAGAGTTATATCTCGAACATGTTCGGCGGCAATCGGGTCCAGAAACTCTGAAACTGGAGAAAAATGACCAGAATGGAATTCTAAGAGTTCACAACTCGACGAAATGTGAAAATGAATCCCATACGAGAATTTAGGCTCCAGATGAGACATTTTGCAATAACTTTCGTTAATTGCACAATGGCCCCTACAAAAAGGGTTAACTGCGAAACTGCCCCAGAATGAAAATATCTTCCAAAAGATATTTTCTTAGATACCCCTGAAATAAAATATCTTCAAAAGATATTTATAAAAAATACCCCAAGAAATGAAAAAGATTCTGAAGAATTGTGCATCTATGCCCTTGTGGACATCGGGAGCAACCAGAATACTTTTTTGTAAAAGTAAAGATACGTATTTCGAGAAAACCACTCAAGATGAAGATACGTGAAGTCAAAAACTAACTCCGAGCACGAAAAGTGAGGTTTTGCCAAACAAGTGACAAACGGGGAAAAGACAGAATAGGGAAAAAGACGAAACAGGGAAAAGGACGAAAGACGCATAGTGTCCGAAAAGTGAAAATGCGAAAATGACTCGGTACTCAAAGGAAGTTGTCAATCCACAAAAAAGAGTCTCGGAAACCATTTCTGAGCACTCGAGATAACACTAAGCGACAAAAAACAGAGCTCAGAAAAGAAAATTAAACGAAAAAAAAAAATTATTCGTAAAATTTTAGAAAAAAGGAAAGGGAGGTAAATGACCGGGTCGTTACATATCATGAGACATGAGAGGACCTCTTAGGATTAATATTCGCTTGCATTATGAGAACTAGGATATTCAAATTATTAGCTGGCAGAATATAAATTAGGCACTTGCATGCACACAAGCACACATAAAAATAAAAAGAAAAGAAAAGAAAAGAAAAGAAAATGCCAAGGAGTTTGTTATCAAACAGCTTGGATAATGAAATGAGTGGCGAAAAGAAATCAAAATAAGCACAAATACAAACCCGTTTCATTCATAATCATCTCCATTATTACATATACTACGTATAAAGTAACTCATACAATATGATGGAAATTGGATACAAGATTTTAGTTAGACTAACTAGACTAGGACTAAGGCTATATTAGGGATTATAACTATGCGAAAGTTAGGTTTTTAGATAGAATTAAACCCACAAATCACACATACTACTTAAATTCTAATGTTTTTGTTGTTATAAGAATCAAATCTAAGACGTCTGAGTTTAGATTCCTTCCAAGAGAGCCCTTCTTATCCACGGGCCGGGTCACTTGTGTGAATTCAAAAATAGAATGTCAAAGAAATTGCAAAATAAATAATCTAAGGGCCTGATGGTATATCCTCCACCTCCAAAAATGAATGATAAGCATTTAAGTGAATATGTGAGTGATGTTTGTGTTTCTTGTCAATGAAGAAAAAAAAAAAAAAAACAACTAATTAGAAAGAATAAATAAGTTGTTTCTTAATTATACGACATAGGCCTAGGAACTCAAGCATCTGATTGAACAGACCAGGTAGTGATTCAAGAATCACGGGATACGGCTGGAACAAATCATAACAACCCAAAACCAGATTCTCAGCATTGTTCACATCATCCACAAATTGCTTGAAGTTCTTCTTATAAAGTTTCGGAATGGCAGTGCCAAGATGCGAGGTAGCCTGTGGGATCATTCGACTACAATTATCTAGAGCATCTTTCATACGATCAAATGGACCTTCTTGTGCCAACTTTCCCACGTAGTTTTCCATCAGTATTCCATTGTTGATGCCGCACCTGCAAACTATCTTAACAAGGTCCCAGCGGTCTGCTGATGGCCTTGCCGGGTCCGGCCAGATACATGCCATGCATAGGTCTGGGGATGGTGTTCTGCTACATGTTTGTTGAACTACATTGGCATCACCATTGACAATGTGAGCCAGAGAAAGGAAAATAGTAAATGAAGCTAATAGTACATCACTTTTCATTGAAAATGTTTTTCTTTATTCATTTGGGCTACAGCTCTTTCCCATTATATGTGTATATATATGGTATTGGTTTTCCTTCAATTGCTTCACTAATGACACGTGGGAGTTTTTTGAATCACAAAACTGATGGGTATCAAGAAATATTTCTTTCATTTATGGTAATGAATTTAGTCAGGTTTTCTTCCATCCATTGATCAATCTATATATATGGTAACGAATTTAGTCAGGTTTTCTTCCATCCATTGATCAATCTATATATATATAGAATTTCTTAAGGCAATTTTAGGTGTGAAGCAATTTAAGAGAAAATATTGTGTGTGTAAAAAAAAAAAAAAGGAAGGAGAATCTCCTTCAATATTTTTTTCAATAGGAAAATGGTAATGCCTTTTGTGTCCTTCAATATGCAGTCTTGTCTCTGTTGCAATATGTTTCAAAATATTTTCATAATATTTTTTAAAATATATATGATTAAAGTACAATTATTTTGATTCATTCCCCTTGCATAATTAAGTTTTAAATGTGTTCACGCACATAGACATGGCTTTGGGTGGTTCATGCATCAACAGGTGTAATGTTTTTGCATTTATCTATACTTGACATTTAGCATTCTCAATGAATCTATTTGATTATCTTAATTCTAGATGAATCATTTTAAGTTCATATCATCACAATTATGAGATACATTTTGATTAGTGTTATACCGAATGAATTTATGAATTCATGCATCTTCAGGTTGAAAATATTTATAAGACTCATCTTGAGAGGTCCATATAAAGAACACACTTCCCTTACTCAAGTATGGAATTCAATCCCATCTTATACTCGAGTTTTCTTAACTTTAGAAATTTTCTCTTCTAGTTTTCAAACTGGACAATTTGAAAAGCGATTAAGTGTTGCACTCACCAATGCAACGTGCAAATACACTTACTTGGTCTAAAAGAATGTTGGGGCTACTCGGCAAGTAGTTTACACACAAGTTTCCTCACCTACGGCCATGCCAGGACCGTAATCATGAGACCAAGCTTTGTAAAGCCAAGCAATATTTCCAGTGCTATTACGGCGACAAGTCTGTAGTCTTATCCCTTATCTGATTTCAAGGTTATGCGGAGAGCAGGAATAAGCCTCTAAAAGGTTCTGCAGCCTTTATTGACGAAAGCGAGCTTTAATTAAATTATGTGAAATCTTTTTCGTGTTTTCATTTTCCGTGTGTATCTTTTTGGTATTCTTAATTTATTTAGAGAGGGTGAGCAAATGAATGAGAGTCGAAGCAATGGGTCAGAGAAAGTAATTCATGCATCCCTTAGGGCCTGTTTGTTATCTACTTTGTTTTAGTGTTTTTGTTGCAGGTTGGGTACTGTAGCTGAAAAGTGGGTTGCAACATGTTTGGTAGTGGGCGGATTGTTTTACATAGTATCAAAACATTTCACAAATGTGGCCAAAAAATTGAAGCAAGAAATTGGTGTTTTTGCATGTTTCACAACTGTAGCGGGCCAAACACAACTGTAGCGGTCGAAACAAAATTAAACTACTTGCAACATTTTGGCCCACGTATAAAAGCAAAAGTTAAAATATTGTAGTTCATTTGGCCCGAAAATTTCTCTCTCCTATGAAGCCCTAAGCTTTGGCGATTTTGGAGGCGACCTGTGATATGCGAAGAAGAGGCTCAATTCATAGTAGTGTAAGTCTTTGAAACCCAAACGTTTGATTTAATGTTTTTTTAAGTGTTATTCGGTTTCGATTTGTTCAATTTTGTCTTCGTGAATAGAGGGCGTCGATTTCATTAACTCATCGATCACCTGGAAATCTCTCCTTGCCTTCTTCTCTGCTCGAGGTCTCCACTGGAACCACCGCCGCCGACGCCGATGCCCTCATCATCGACGGCAAGCTCTCCAAACTCCGAACCAAGCGTGTGTTAGCCTAAGGCCTTACCATTTTCCAGCGTGCTTAATATGTTTTTTTTTTTTTTTTTTTTTTTTTTTTTTTCTGAGTTAGTCTTGATTCTTGAAATTAGTCCAAAAGAGTTCTTGAAATTAGTTCAAAAGAGTTGAAATTATTGTTTAAGTGTTAGGAAATTCCTCTGTTTGGTTGTTGAGAAAATATTTGCAATAAGATAAACAAAAAAATTTAATCTATTTATCCACTAAGTTTTTTAATCTATTTAATCCTACTTAAATGGTATTTAATGTATTAAACAACAAAGAAAACCTACAAGTATAATACAAATTACATAAAAACATCTAATGTGAAGAGCTTCCCTAAAAGCTTATTTCAAGGTGTAATTGAATTTCTTAAGTGAAGCATGCTTAAAGATAATTATCATAGTGTCATTGTTGTTCGGTTGCCTTTCATATCAAAAATTATTATACTGAAAATTTGTTGTATAGAAGTCAAAATAGTGCCATCTTTGCTACAAAATAGATTTAATGCTCTTTCTACCAGAAACTCCATGGTTTTGTTGTTATTTAGGAATTTCAGGTCTTGAGAGTGATTTAAAGTCTGACAATTCTCTTGATCTTAGTTTGAAGACATTAGACAAAATGAGAAATATAGAAGCACTAATACTTAATTTTCTTGCTAATTTGGAAATTATTTATATGAATTGTGTAGTGTAATTGACATAGATTTAATGGGATAATTCACCACATGGCCAAGGTAATAAAGGGACGATACTGCGTACTAATGGAGACAAATTGAGGGCCTATTTGAATGCCATGTAAATTATGGTTGTGGCCATCCAAATTCAAGGGACAGCCAATCAGATTACCTGTTGGTTCTAAGGTTGCCTTATGGGTATTTTCTTGTTTGATCTTTTAATACTTAGGAATTATCGTGTCATTAGTTTCATCATTCCACCTCAAACATTGTGATTTTATTCATTAATTATTTATACTTGTTCAAATTATATGTGAATCACAAATATTTAATGGCAATTTTTAAATGCTTCATAACCAGTGAAAATGGAAGAGAATATTACAAAATGGTGGCATTTATTATACTTGGTATAATTCATTGTTGTCATTATGTGGACAATTGGGTAATATTGTTGTGCTCCTCTTTTGCATATGGTTGCTGCTGTGTAATGGGACTGCTATGATCAAATTCATTTTGAGGTTATCTTCTCAAAATACTGAGAAAGCTTTCATACTGCAAGTTTCTAAAGATAGATGATGCATTTTGGTTGAAGAAAAGTCTTTGCTATTGTTGTGTATCAAGGATGCTATCCCAAGTTTTTCATCCTTGTATTTCCATAGCTAAAGACCTTATAAATGGCATTCTGGATTCTGCTCAGCTGTATCATCCTTGTAATCTTCATTCTGTATTTCTAGCATCATCCTTGTAATCAATGAGGCTAGCTCACTTGTATCATCTTTGTAATCTTCAAAAATGGCATTTTGCATTATGTATTTTCACTACTCAGTTGTTTCATTCTTGTAATATTCATTTGTATAACTCACTAGAATTATGCATTTTGCTCTCTCCACAGTGTCTGCAAGTGATTATTTACCTTGAAAGCTTTGTTGTTAGTATATATATTAGAACAGGTGGTTATTATTTACCTTCATAGCATTGATGTTATTACCTTGGTATAATTATAAAATAGGTGGTTGCAAATTAGTGTTTCAAATGCTGTCTTTGCATATTTCAACTTGTATTAATTCTTATATTTCATCACTTTAAGAAGGCTAAAAAAGCAATAGATGACTTGCAAGTTTAATAAATTTGTTTGTTGAATATTTAAGCACTTGTAAATAGTTTACCCTTTATTCCACTTATGTTTGCAGTTGGGTTTTGTTTTTATTTTTAATGTTGTGTTGGACTATACAGGTAATAGGATAAGAAAATTGAAGCAGGTTATTGCGAACAACTTGTAAATAGGTTATTGCAAAAATTAATATATATATGTGTGTGTGTGTGTGTGTGTGTGTGTGTGTGTGTGTTTGTGTGTTCAAATTTCTTCACATCTATTAAAAATATGATGACTATTTATATAGAAATAAATTTATAAATACACTTAAATTTATAAAAACAAATTAAAAACAATGATAACCAAACATTTTTTTTTTTCTGTTTTATATTTTTTTTGGTAACAATTGGAGTGACCAAACATGTTTTGTTTTCAAATTTCTTGAAGCACATGACTTACCAAACATGTTTTGCATGTTTCTGCTTCTGACATTTTCACAACAAAACATCGTTCCCAAATGTGCTTCTGATTTTTTTTCAAAACACCCTAAAGCAAAAACATTGTTTCTGTTTTAGCCAAAAACAAAACACCTAAAGCAAAACGCATGCCAAACGGGCCCTTAACTCACCAAAGCTTATCAATAATTTTGCTTGAACAAAGTAAAACGAGGGGTATAGTTATGCATCCTGGATGCAACGTGAATCTGGTCATCTGAGGAGTGAGATTCAGGGCGAATTAGGCCATTTCCAATGCTAAAAGCTATTTTCGCATGCCAAATCTATATTTTGACATGTGCTACAGAATCAAAATGTTACATTTTAACAATTTTGCTTCAATGGTGCATTTCATGTAAAATGCTATTTTTTGACACAACTATCATTTTTTTTCAACTACTATTCCCCTTATTCATATTTGCATCAGTAATATTAATATTAGACACATTCCAAGTCAAGTTATAGACATTAGAAGGAAACTAAAATTAAACATAATTAATAAGAAACAAAAATTGAAAATATCTGGTCAAAAAATATATGTATAAATTTATGTATTTGATTATATTATTATATAATTTTTTTTTTCTTTTAGAAATTTATATATATATATTATATATATATATATATATATGTATATTATATATATTTGATTATATTATTATTAAAAATATATATATTTTTAGGGCAAATCATTTCAGCCTCCCCAATCGCCTCCCCCCCCCCCCCCCCCAAATCCTCCTCTCTCTGTGCAACTACAAACTACAAAATTAACAAAAATCAGAAGTTCAAAACCCATATCTTATGGTTTCCATCACTCGCTG